GGATGTTTTGGCTATCCTGGGTCTTTTGTTTATCCATATAAAGTTGAAAATTGTTTTTTCAAGGTCTGTGAAGAATTGTGTTGGGATTTTGATGGGGATTGCATTGAATCTGTAGATTGCTTTTGGCAAGATTGCCATTTTTACTATATTGATCCTACCTATCCAAGAGCATGGGAGATCTTTCCATTTTCTGGTATCTTCTTTAATTTCTTTCTTTAGAGACTCAAAATTCTTAGGGTACAGGTCTTTTACATTTTTGGTTAGTGTCACCCCAAGGTATTTTATGTTGTTTGTGGTCATCGGTATATAGTAGGGCTATGAATTTTTTTGAGTTAATCTTGTATCCTGCCACTTTGCTGAAGGTGTTTATCAGTTGTAGGAGTTCCCTGGTTGAGTTTTTCTGGTCACTTATATAGACTATCATATTTCCTTGATCTCCTTTTGTTGTCTTATTGCTCTAACTAGGACTTAAAGGACAATATTGAAGAGGTATGGAGAGAGTGAACAGCCTTGTCTTGTCCCTGATTTTAGAGGAATTGGATAGAGTTTCTCTCCATTTAATTTGATGTTGGCTGTTGGCTTGCTGTGTATTGCTTTTATTATGTTGAGGTATGTTCCTGTTATCCCTGATTTCTCCAGGGATGATGATGTGTTTTTTTTTTTCTCCCCAGTCTGTTTATATGGTGGATTACATTGATGGATTTTCATATGTTGAACCATCTTTGCCTCCCTGGGATGAAGCCTACTTGATCATGGTGGATGATTTCTCTGATGTGTCCTTGTATTTGATTGGCTAGGATTTATTGAGAATTTTTGCATCAATGTTCATGAAGGATATTGGTCTGTAGTTCTCTTTCTTAGTTGTGTCTCTGTGTGGCTTGGTCTTCAGTGTCCGTTGTTATGTCCCCCTTTTCATTTCTGATTTTGTTAAGTTGCATGATCTCTCTCTGCCTTTTGGATAATTTGGATAACAGTTTGTCTATTTTGTTGATTTTCCAAAGAACCAAATCTTTGTTATATTGATTCATTGAATTGTTTTCTTTGTTTTGACTTTATTGCTTTCTGCCCTCAGTTTGAGGCATCTATTTCCTTAGAGGCTATAAGTCTGTTTAAGTTGCTTATCTGTTCTTGACTCAATTTTGGTAAGTGATATCCATTTGTTCTAGAGCTTTCAGCTGTGATGTCAGATCTCTGGTGTGGCTATTCTCTAGTTTCTTCATGTGAGCACTTAGAGCTATGAACTTTCCTGTTAATACTGCTTTCAAAGTGTACCATAGGTTTGGGAATGTTGTGTCAACATTTTCATTGAATTCTAGGAACACTTTAATTTCTTTCTTTATTTCTTCCTTGACCCAGGAATGCTGCAATTGCATTTTGTTCAGTTTCCATGAGTTGCTAGGTTTTCTGCACTTTGATTTGTTTTTGATTTCTAAAGCATGGTGGTCTGATGAGACACAGGGGATTAATCCAATTTTTTTTGTACCTGTTGAGGTTTGCTCTGTTGCTGCATATGTGGTCAAATTTTGAGAAGGTTCTATGTGATGCTGAAAAGAATGTATATTCTTTTGTGTTTGGATAGAAAGTTCCAAAAATGTCTGTTAATCCCAATTGGGTCATAGCTTCTGTTAGTTCCTTTGTCTCTTTGTTAAGTTTCTGT